GGTAGGGCTACACTCTGAAAGTCCCGATTCCGCTCCAGTTTGTGGGTTTTAAGAAATAAGCATTTTTTGCTTCTTCAGCATCTGTTACAACTATTTCATCCCATAAGAACCCTCTAAAGTCTTATTATTTTCATACACCAGGCATGTTAGTCACCACAATTTCGTCGTAAAGTCAGTGTTTTATTTTTCTTTATCGCCAGTTTTCTCAAAACGCGGTTTTTCTGTACACTTTTTGGGATAACTCCACCATTTTTCATCCAATCCTCATGAAATTTTTACAAAATGAAGAGAAGACGTAACCTTAAAATATATGGCTGTTGAATTTTCAATAAAAGGAATACTTTTATGTTGTAGGTGTCTGGAGTGTGGATTTTCACGGACTTTTTTTTGTTGCAAACTCCAATACTAACTCAGGAAAACATTCATTAAAATTCTACAAATTCGTTTAGGAAAAATTCAACGAAGACACGTGTAAATCTATTGTCTGTTAATATGCATTCAAAACACAACCCATTTCAATGAAAAATAAACCAGCATTCATTGCGTAAGACATGTCAACAAAATCCAATATGGCCGCCGTCTCCATGACAATGAAACTTTTTTTCTCTCAAATTTAATGGCGGATTTTATGACTCCTCACTATGCTCGTTATATGTGTGAACTTTGGTAAAATGTAATTCACTAGTAAGCAAGATAGCCTTCAGGTGTAGCCTCCCTTCTTAACATGTTCAGTGAACATGGCGTGTACTACAGGTTCTCCAGCCTTAATCTCAGCGATACCATAATTGGACTCAAGCTCCTTATACCAAGGCTTTGAGCCTCAATGAGGAATTCTACGTCATAATCTTCCATCCAGAATCTGCAACTAATTGCTCATGAGACCCCCCCCCCAACCTCCCCAACCACATACACACACACACATCCCACCCCAATTCCTTCCTAACTACATATGGTCGCTTTTAAGCACAAGGGGGCTATCCCGAAAAATTCAGTTTTGAGAGAATCGAAGGTAAAGTTTTTCCCCCTTGTTCGGTCTCTTTAAAGGACAAGGAGAGTTTTCTCTATAACCAAACAAATATATTTCTCTATAACCAAACAAATATACACACCAATGAAACCAAACTTCTATAGGTAGGCCAATGTCCACTTTTGGTGCAGGTCAAGATTTCTGGAAACCCCCAAAATTTGGATTAGCCCGCTTGTCCTTAAAAGGGACCACATAAACACCCAAAGACATACCTACTAACATACATGATGCTAACAAGACTACCTCATTTCCAGCATAATATCTGTGGTGTATCGGTTAAGTGCTTCGCCGTCGCACAAAAAAGTCCCACAAAGTTCGATTCCCGTTTAGGGAGAATTTTTAACAAGTACATTATGTACCTCAGTCTTTTCGCTGGGACGCTGCATCCCTTTCAGCCCGGGTTGGCTCTTACAGGCAGAGTAAAAAAGTCGCTTCCTGAACGTTCTAAACTGTGCCGATAGGGGCGTAAAACACCAATATCTAAAAACCCCCAAAAAACAACCCTTAACTTGGCACCGGACCTCCCACCCCACCCCTCCCCCTGGCCCAAATAAAACGAAATAGATTGTGAAAATGGTGAAATGGCATATGTTTAACTCTTCTATTAACACTGTTAGGATATCCAAATGGGAAATTCGTGCAAAGTGCCTTTCCCAAGGACACAACGTCGGACCGAGCTGAGGCTTGAAGTCCTGAACCCGCAATCTCACGATAACGGTGAAATACGTTAACACATAAATAAATACATAAACAAACAAACAAACAAATAAATAAACAAACAAATAAATAAATGAATACAAAAGGTACAAAACAAAAGTACAAACACTCATCCACCAAAAAAAACCTAACAAACCCTTCC